CATAACATTTTTATTATTTTGTGTTTGACGTCACTTTGGGAGAAGTAAATTTATGCATTAATTCCAAAATGTTTAAGCAACATTCTACTTCTTATAGTAAAATCATTCTTCTGAACAGTTCTACTCGACACTCTTCCATAAAAGAACAACTCCAATGGCAGGGTGTTGTCTGAGAAGCACAGCATAGTGAGTTCTCTTGTTGGATAGTACCTAAATAAATAACGAACTAAATTTTAAAACTTCATTCCCAACTTGGTGACGACAATATAATTAACAAATATATTAATTGTTTTCCAGTTCCCTCGAGAAATATTTGACTGACCCAGGTATCACACAATATATATAATAGTCAGCCAGCACGAATATAAGAGAGGGCAAGTATACCTCATAGGTAGGGTGGAACATTTTTTCTCGGAACAACATTGTATATAATAAAATTTAAGAAAGAACTTTTTATTGGTGAAGGATATTATTTATATTGCTCAAAATGTCGAAGTATACAATACCCAAATACCACTCCCGACTTTTTGTAGAAATGTGCTAGGCTAAATCGGTGTGAAAAAATTGCATTGGAATGTTTGAACTCTGAACCTTGTACTTGTGGGAATTAGTGGGATAATTTTAAATCAAATTAGTTTAGCGAATTTCTATATTTTTAAATCATAAGGTAATAAATCATTAAATTACATTAAAAACAATTAAATCATTAAGTAATAACAAATATTTCGCGGTGGACTAGAACACAACTAACGTATTTGTCAATAATATTTTCGTCACCAAGTTCGGAGAATAATTTTAACATTTATTTGTCATTCAGTCAGGTACCTCTTAATTTATTTAGAATTTATCAGAAAAATGTGTTTTTCTATAAAGAAAATGCAAACATTGATTATCGATTTCGGGAAAATTGGCTGACTCAAATTATTTTATCTAGATATCTAAGGTACTTATACTTATGGGCTTATGGCATATAAACTATTTTTTTATTTTTGTATGGTAAAATTATAATACATGTTAAACATGATTTTCGTTGCAGTTATAATTATTGTTATAGATATGATTAAACAATAACGAGTACACCATACTATAATTACTAAATAATGTACAGTTTTACACAAGTTACTTTATTCCATTCAACACCGACTTGCATTAAGAAATTGCATCAATAGTACCCCACCAATAGTTGTCAGAACAATTCAGCGGCTCAGTATATACATTTCTGGGAATAATCGACTTAAAGTGAACTAGTATACACTGTAGAACAAATTTTCCACAAATATATTTTTAATTAGAATTGTCTAAACTTGTTAAATATAATAAATTATTTTGGAATTTTCACACTATTTATAGAAATGTTYGAATTATTTTAGTTTTAATTCAACAAACATCAGAACAAATATTGATAGATATATTTCAAAAACTTTACCAGTTTACCATTTAAGACTAGAATTCTTAAAAGTTGTACTAGAAGAACATGGGCGTGCAAAACACTGAATTTCTGGGTTAGGGTGTCAATATTTTAGGACTTTTTCTTAATTTGGGACTTCTCTTTACATGACTTGTACATATCATTAATCAATGATATAGGTAACTAGAAACTAGTATAGTACCAACTTCCAAATTATATATTTATTCATTGTATCTAATATAATAACTAATAAGATACTAATATAGTTATAATAATTTCTATTATTAATTATTTATACTTTTGTAATCTGTAACATCAAGCTTTTATAATCATAACAAATTATTCTGCTCACATTTAAAATATTTTACGTTTTATTATTATGTTTTATCACGAAACATGACTTATTTAAGAAAAAATACTTTTTTATCTTGTAACATCAAGTAAGAGTAGACCCCAAATATAAAATATCAGGAGGTGCCCGAAATAGATATATAAATATACTGGATGACCAATTAACTTTTATTAATAACTTTTTCCGTTATTATTGTCATTATAAGATAATGTTTAAATTATTTTTAATGGGAGAAACGGAGTAGTGGCCGTTGTGGGCTGTTAAAAACTTTAATTTTAATATTTAGAACTCTAACGCTGAGAGTGCAGCGGACATATCTTAAATCGTGTTGATGGCTATAATATTATGTAATAATACAGATGTAAACAAACCTCAAATAGCATATCATTGCGTCAAACTTCAATGCGATATTACATTGGCTGTAAACGAAAGGCCATATAGAAGTTATACCAAGGCAACTCCCCGACAAATGTCTGGCATGTCTATGATAAGAATCTTCCCACCGTAAAACAGTTTACTTTATAGGTACCAAGAACGTTGAATATAATGTAAGACAAGTCTAATAGCATAAAGTTTCAAAGTACAATATTATTTTTTATTTCAATTACATTTTTAAACGTTCACGAAATATGAAAGTGGCTTTCACTAAACTTAAATCTAGTATGATAAATCTTGTATTCCATTTTTAAGTCAACACTCAGTGGTCAGTACTGTAAAAATTGGAAACTGAATGCATTTTAACTACAAAATTCGATTAGATTTTGRATAACTATATTATTGAAGAAAAAATGTGATCAACATATTTAATGAATTACATTATATACAGAACATTTGAACTTTCATCATTTATTACAAATTAATTTTTTAATATTTATAAACACGAACCTAATGTAAATTACATAGGTATCAGGCGTTGACTAAAAAAGATTTATTTATTTGGTGTTCAAAACATTCTTAATTTATTTCATAAATTCTAACTTCATAATTGGTTCTATGTGTACTTAATTTTCACTTACCTAGTTAATTGTAATTGAAACAAGTAATTTTATTAACTCTCTAAACTGTATTATTGATCAAATCCACAGGAGTTATAAAACATGGTATTTAAAACTAAAGTACCCAGCATAATATCAGGCTAGATATGTTACCTGTTTTAATTAGACTTTATTAAAGCTGACKGGTGATGTAATAATATTTTCTTAAATTGGTATTACTTTTATAATTTCATACTATGTGAGTTATTGAGAAATGCACTACAATTTACCAGTTAACTTTAGGTACCTGTAGTAAAATAAGAAGGACTAATAAAAGGGGGATATCTCCTTTCAATGTGTATACAACTGGAGTAGCAGTGATCACGATCACCCAGTTCATGTAAAAAATATGCCATAGTCAATATTTAAAATGGGAGGCCCACCATAAGATACTGCCGTGTACTGCATTCAGAATATATGCGTTTAAACTTATATGATTAAACATTGCATTACTTATTTGTAGATGTTTTGATTTGCATTTAATGGTTAAATTATAAAAATAGGGGGATGAGGGGGCCTCTCGGTGTACAATATCATTGTATTTTTTAAGCACTTCAGTGCCACTGTACCTTATTAATAAACATAGATGTAACAAACTCATACATTTTTTGTATGATTTAAATTTCTAATAGTAATCAGTAAATGTTAAGCAAATATTTTTAAATTTCGGTTACAAGTAAAATGTAAAATGTATACAAGTATTGGTTATAATTATGATTAATTTTTTTTATTGTAAACAAGATACCTAATACTTATTTCATTATCATTAGTTAAACTAAATAGTTCTATACTTTTAGAATTCTTTACTTACGTCTTAGTGTCTTACCTATAATACATTATGTTAAATGTCGGAAAGTTTTTAGTAAGTAGTTTTATGGTATTGTTATAAACCGGTTTTTGTGTTTAAATTATTAAAACATAAAATGTTTAAACATGGATATAAAATGCATTAAATATTTATGAAAAAAGTGAGCGGTAGTAAAGATGACAGCAATAAAACAAGTTAAAATGTTTTTAGATTGTTAAGTTATTATGAATTTAACACCAAATTTTAGTGCTGCCACACACACAGTTGTAAAAATATAAATAGTTCTTATAGCTGTTTAAAACTATTTTTGTAATTATTATAAAGTTATATTTTGTATTCATGTAGAATGTATATACAATATACAACATTACAATTTAGTCAATCTGTAATAAAAATAATTTTCTTTTCTTGTAATTTCGATAGCTTGAAATAATTCTTATACTTTTAATAAAGTAAGAGACGAATGTGATAAATAATGACCTACAGCTATTGGTGTTAGCTCCGAGTGATCAGTTATCGGTATCCCTACAAAAACGGTTTTAGACAGTTGTTAAATTCTAATATATACTAGGTACTAAAACGTCCTATTGATTTCAGATTCCCCGCAAATATATTATCAAAAGATAAAAAGGGACAAGTTATCACGGATTCAGTCTTAGAAAACTCGTCACCCACATGAGCTCGAGAGGAAAGTAGATAAAGCGAGTTGATAAGAAATAATTTTCGTTACCTGCGATTGTATACCGGTCCATGTAATTTATCAAGTTGACGAAGCACAGGATAACGACTGTGATCTTCTGTCTGCCGGTGATCGGCAAACCACCACCTGCCGTCTCGTCATTCATTAGATGCTGTTGAGAATTGTTGTTAGGCGCCGACGACGGTTCGGCATTCATTATCTGCAATACGTTTTTGACGTTGCTTTTGCTGTGGAGCACTTGAGTCGGCATCACATCGACAGAACTACTCCAATCCTACAGAGCAACTATGGTCGTCGCCGGGCAACAGATCCACAATACCGTTGGAAAGTCATCGCTAGGGAGTAACAGCTTCCAATTTCCAATGTCCACAGACGACAGACCTATAGCGGATGACGACTGACGTCGAACTGGTGCCTGGTGGCGAATGGCGATAAGTCGGACTCTGGAAATAATTGTGACGATACTAGATTTGACAACCCAATATAACCCATGCCTGTTTGTTGTGAAACGTGCAACGTCACCTGTGACCCGATTGCGATTCTAACAGGCTAGCCACCCTAGAACCAATGACTGTTAATCGTTATCGTTATGTTGGGTAGTTCTGGTCCATTTATAATCAATCTAAGCATATGATATCGGTTGTTGGCGCCTTTTTTAATATCTTCATTCTTTGCTTCTCCATAAATCACAAATATCAATATATATTACTAGAAGTACGTACATTAATGAATGTTATTAAGGGTTAATTTTGTTTTCTCTCACCAGTAACCACTTTCCGTATGCTTTTGTACAATTTTTTTCTTCTCTGCACCGGACATTGAAGCATTTACATAATACACAAATACACTACTATAACGGATGAGAAATTACGTTTTCGTACGACTTATAAATATTACACATTTCAGCCGCCTACATAATAATATACAAATTAATAAATGTAAGCCGTTGTGATTTGGTTTCTAAGCTGATATTCAAAGGTCGTCATTGATTTTTAGTTTTTACGTTGTAATTTGATACAGTTTTTTAAAATGTCTAACGAATCTGAGTTGATAACACATTTCGACACTATCTACGGATTTGCCGAAGTATTAGCTTTGAAAAGTGTGCGTGAAATTCAAATACCAGTCTGCAATTCTCTCACTCAACTAACCTCTAAAGATTGTCTCAAGTTAATGGCAAGTATTTAAATTAAATCATTATACAATGGTAGCGCTGATGAAGTCTATTTTTTATACATTTACACTCTCCAACTATTTATTTCGTACTAGTGCCTTATGATTAAATTAAATTACATGTGCTATGACATGCACCATCAAAATCATTTGTAGATTAAACAATTGATTTCTGTAGGGAACATAATTTACTATGGTTAAACTCATTTGTAAAAACTTCTTTCATTTTCTTTATTCTACAACTTTCATATAATATTAACATATCTGCTTTAAAGTATAAGTATACTTAATATGTTATAATTGTTTGAAAGTACTACAGTAGAGCCTTGATAGTCTGGACCCCCGATAATCCTGTGAACGCGGTAATCCGGACTGCAAAATTCCATTTGTTCGTAAATAAATTTCACGAGAATTCTTGCAACCCAATTAATCTATAAAATATTGTTATCGACAAATACAATTTCGTCATTTTTATTRYCTAYTGTTCCTAGTAAAGACTAATACATGTATGTAGGTACATAATAAATCAATGCTTCTTTCAAAGTTTCTCCTTCAAAAGCTGTGAATGCACTGAATACTGTATTGCAATGGGCGGAAGATGAGAACATGTATAGTACTGATATTTTGTTGGTACGTTGATTAAGGGAACTCACTTTTGAAATTAAAATTAAAAGTATTATTCACAAAAAAATTACCGACTACAGTAGGTACTTAAGGTCTACATATTATTATAAACATTTTTTTTTGTAATTCATTAGTTTAGTTTTAATTTAATTTAATTATTATTCTTGTAATTTAAAATGCAATAAATATAAAGATAGTGAAATTCAAAATAAAATCTTAGTAATTTGAGTAGGTAATTTTGAAAAACCTCCAGTAATCCGGAAAAATTTATAATCCGGACGATGTTCGGTCTGAATTCGTCCGGACTATCAAGGCTCTGCTGTAGTCAGTTATTGATGTATTAGATATAAATTGTGTTATTATATTATAAAATGCAGTGATTAAAATAACTAATTGCATTATAGGCACTTTGTATGTAATTCATAAAATATTATTTTTAAATATGACCCCCACTAAAATTATATAATTAATTAAAATGTCAAACCAAATAATGTTTTATAAGTTTTCATATAAGAGGGAATTGGCCCTTTATTAAATTTAAAGGTAATTAAATAAGATTATTATTTAGGGCTTTTTATTTATAAATGTTTAAATATGTTTAAAGTGAGGTAAAATGCTTACCTAGAATATTTATATTTAACCTGATATTTAATTATGTATTTTTTCAGAAATATGAAATGGATAAGTGGTCTGATCCTAAGGAATCATCTATGGAAAAAATGCTTCTATGTTATTTAGTAACAGATTACATAGGCTGTGGATTAGCTTCTCCAGAATTTCATACTATATTTCACAAAAACCTTTTCACGGAAGCATCTAAGATAAAACTTTTGAATGATTTAATAAGATTCTGGGATAGCTTATTCAAAAATTATAAAATTTCAAGTATGTGTTTTGAACAACTATTTTTATATTCATTATGTATTGTAAATAATATTTATGTATTAATTTTAGATATTGATTTTATTAAAAATTTGATGGCTGGCTTGGAACGGATTTTTGTTAAAATGTCAATTTTAGTGCCAGACGATCACATCAAAATTAAATGCAATATAGTCATAGATAAAATTAAATATTGCATTAGAGAGTATGAACAAAATATTTTAGATCAACAGACTGATACATGTATGCAACAACTTAGCTGTAACAAGAATAAAGTTATAGGCATTGAAAACATAGTTCCAAATACATCAGTTAAATCAGAAGTGAATTATTCTATCAAAAATCATGTCCAGCAAAATCAACAAAAAAGAGAACACATGAATAAAAGTATAGAATGTATGACTTTGAATAGTCTAACACAAAAAAAAAGTATAGATCTTCAAAAGCATAATTCTCAAACTTTGGTTGATCATCATTTTTCAAAGAAACCAAAATTAATGTCAAGTGATGTGCTAAATAGGAGTACCACATCAGGTATATTGTTTATATTATATACAGATATTTGAATTATAATTGGACAGTATTATAGTTAGCCAAACTTATTTAAAAATAACAATTTACAACAATATTCCAGTGGTTTACTTAGGATTTTGCTACACATTTTTTTAATGCCCTCATCTCCCTACCGGCTTATATTATAATGTCCATTTTTTCTTACCCATTAATAAACTTTCAAAACATTTATGATAACTGATAAGTGTTCCTCGGGGCGCACATACTTCAATCTCCCTCCTGAATACATTAGTGCTATATTTATGATAAAATATGATATATCTGATCAGAAACATACTTCACATATTTTATAAAAACATAATGATTTGTTCATAAATCTATCTCCATCCTGGATGATTAAATGTGATCTAAGTTAATATTGAATCAATTTCTATGTTATTCTATAAAGTAATAAAAAAAATATCAACCTTTATAAAAAGTTGTTTAGAAAATAATAAATTTGAGTGTTTAAYATAATATTTATTTATTATTGTATCTCGTACTATGCTCTATATTCTATTCACGTTATGAATCAACTGCGTTTGCACACAAAGTCTAAGCTACTGATCACTGCTTGAACCCCAGATGGTCGTTTTATATTCTGTGATTGGTTAATAGCCATTGACAACCGATGTTGATCGATGAGTCTGGTGTTTTCATCGTTCAGTTTTGTGGTGGCTGATGCCAATATTCACTCTGTTGGAGTTGCACGAACAATTAGTATAGTTTTGGTTGGCTAAATGGAATAGAGTATACATAGAAAAATAATTTTAACATATAGAAATGTAAATACTTATTTTTCTGAAATTAACTTTAACACATAGTAACATCAAACATAAATACATACAAGTTAAATTAAATAGATAATAAACCTTCTGGAATTTTTATTTTTAAGTTAGTTTAACATAAAAATCAAAATGTACTAACATTTGAATAATTTTTTTGTGTATATTTAGATGCTGACAGTAATGTAATAGTACCTCATGAAGAAAAGAAGCTCAATGCTTTTCAAGTAATGATGCTCAATGCTAAAAAACAAAAAACAAAATTGAAATAAATCTACACACCTATTTTAATTTTCTTTTTATATAACTTATATTTTAGCATATTGAAAGGTTTTTAAATTTTATTTTTTTGTTACTAAAATTGTAATTTGTATTATTATTTTTCCAATTAGATCATTAAATTAATAACACTGTATAATTTATACTTCTCAGTAAAATATTTTTTTCTAATACACATAAACTACAAAGATATATAGTTATATGTAATACTAATATTGAATTGTACTATTATTATTAAATACTGTTATAAGTATACGAAATAATTATATTTTTATGTAATTTTYAAACTGAAAATAAAGTTATTTACTTATCATCCATATAGTTAAAATAACATCATAGAACAGCTATAAGTAACATCAATATTTCCATCAAAATATACTCATCATTTTGAAAACTAGTAATAGTCGATATATTTTAAATACCAGTATCCAGGTTAGTGTATAAATGAAGCTGTGCAAGTATATGACAAATTAGAAAAATACCAAAAATTTTTGGTAGCTATTCTCAAAATAATGTGTTTCAACGATCCACCAATGCATAATATTAGCATGCAAAATACATACTAATATTTAACAGAATTACATGATATTTAAAATTATTTCTATTAGCTATAAAATCAAATTATTATTTGTCTGACACTTAATTGTATAAAAAATGTTGACCTTATATGATAGTGGATGCTTGTAACAAATATAATCAATAGGTAACTAGGGAAGTAGTTGGTCAATATTCAAAATCGTCCAGTATTTAAAAACTATCTTCTATGTAAAACCGGTTTTTAATAAAATACATTTTTTTCATAAAATATTTTGGCTATTTATTGGTATATAWTTAAAAAATTATTTTTCTATTTACGTTATGTTGGGTGATTAAAAGTTATTTATTATACAATAAATAACTGATTATAATGTGCCATATATTATTTAAATTTATATTACATGATATGTTGAGTCATTGTATAATAAATTATTATTTAGCATTCACCTAACAACTAAATGTAAATAATTTATATTATTGTGTGTTACTAATCGCAAAAACCATAACTGAACAATAGAATATTACTCTACCGCCTCAGAATCAACATAATTAAACGGGGTGATGATATGGGAATGACAAAATAAGAATGGCAATTTCTGTCAAAACCATTGTCTAGATAAAATTGGTTTAATACTTTTATGTTATTTTATGATGTTCACTGTTATTATTCTTTAACCTCACAGCTAAAATCTTTTTTTTTATGTAAATAATAATTATTATATTACATTTGTGCCTTAAGATGACACCATACCCGCATGTGTTGTGGATTAAAAACATACATGGCAAATTGTATGTTCAAAATTACATACATTTTATTTTTTGATTTCTGAAGTAAATCTTAAGTTACCACTTTTTAAATTTAAAGGTAAGATTGTTATCTAGGCATCTCATAGACTTTTTATTATATTTCAATTTTGAAACGAGTAATGTGAATTTTAAAAATGTTCATTGTTTTTATATCTAAAAATACTCATAACTCGTTTTAAAATATAAATAAAATAAAAACCTAAAAGACCCTCTTGATAGTAATATTACATTTAAATTTTTGAATAGCTCACTTCACTCTATTTGTAGAAATGATTAACATCATTATTCATTATCATTACGAAAAATCTAAAATTTAACAAGTTATATGCTTTAAAGACTTAGACATCACATGTGGATGTTTAGCCTTAAAATAGTGAGGAAGAGAATGAACAGTGAATAAAAGTATACATATATTATCACTAGAATAAATTTAATTTTCAGACTAATTGGCTTGGCCCACTTTGCTATCATAGGCTGAGTATTGCCTTTGACTAGATTCCATAGGTGGGAAAAAGAGAARGAAATTGGTATTGGTAGTAAAACCAGCACAGCAGTCCCCTTAGCGATAAAAAGGATGTTGCTATTTACAAAAAATATTCAATTATTTATAAATAACATTATCTTTCAATCTTTTAGAAGAATGAATTCTTAGATTTATAAATATAATTGTCAGAATAGTTACGTTCTCTAAGAGACAAATTTTTAAAAATTAAACAATAAATAACAATTGTTTTGTAAAAAACTTTATTTGTATAATTTTGAACTACAATAATGGTTTGTATAAAAAATCAACAAACTTTCTAAAATAAATCTACTGTCTTGTTACCAGTCTAATATTATCGCAGTCTAAAAGTTTTTTAGTGATTTTAAAATTCTAAGCACATGATAGAGTAATAATAATAACAACAACAACAGAATATATATATACACACACACACACACACACACACATATATATATATAAATATAACAAAAAATATAGATTAAATGTTGATTTTTTAACTATTTAGTTTTAACATATTAAGAAACAATTAAATAAAAATTATTGCTATTTTATTCCTTTAAACTAAAATGTGTGTATGGATTGTTCAAATAACACAAATATCATATTACATTTTATACTTAACTACTACTAGGAAAAAGGAATTTGAGCTTCATGAGCTTTGTTGTTATCTTTTGGGTACTTCAAATAATATTATAAAGTAGTTTAAAAATTCAACTTTTATTACATTAATTAAGAAATAAAAATAAGTAGTTTATTTTATTCCAATACCTCACGTTCTCAGTTCTTTATGTATATTAATGAGTGTATACTTAATTAGTAAYTATTATTTCGTAAATACACATAAAGTAAATTATAACTTTAAAAACTTTTATGATTATTACAATAACTAAATATGAACTAACAGAGACTAGATAAATGGCACTACAGTGTGTGTGTGTGTGTGTGTGTGTGTGTGTGTGTATGTTTGTATGTATATATATAAATTAAAAATGTATAATGATGTACATATCCAGTAACAAAACAGAAGAACTTATTAACTAAATAAACAATACAAAATAAAAATGAGCATCAAAATGACTACTTAAGTTGTCTCAGCAATCGTTAAATCACTGAAAGCATTAGACAAACTTACTACACGATTCGAAAATTCTCAACTGGTGCAATCTTGTTGCTCTGTTGATGGTTTCACCAAGTCTAATGTTTCCGAACGTTTTTCAACCTCTGCTTTGAAATTTTCTAAGTCTTGTTGACTAAACAGTTAATATAAAAATGTATTAAATTTTCATATAGTTATTGGGGAAAACAATATTTATACAAAGCAATTATTTTAATTTTCAAATCTAATCAGTTTAGTAAGTTTATGTTTTATATAGGTTTCAGTTGATCAAATCTACTAAATAACGTAAGAAAAATTAATGAAATGCACTTTTAAATATGTATATAAATTTAAATCTATCAACGTACCTAATTTGTACATACAGAATGCCATTGATGACATTGAGCATATCTAATACACTGCCCATAGATGGTGGGTGAATTTGTATAGGAGGTAATGTAGCACCAGTTTTTCCTGTATAGATTTCATTCATTTTTTTTTGTAATACTACAGCCTGGTGTGTTAAATGTTTCAAACAATCCGACGATTCCTGAGTTTTTTCATGTTTTTCTCCAAACTTTAAAATAAAATACATTAATTTAAACTAATTGTTAATTTTTCATTACTATAAAATACCTGTTGTTTATAAATTGCATAAGTTTCTCTTTCATTGCTCAATGCTGAACGGAAATCTCCCATACAACTTTGAGTGCGGGCAACTAAATGATAACTCACTGCTACTTTTAATGATTTAGGACCATAAAATTTAATATTTAAAGCTAACGCTTTCTCTAAAAATCTTAATGAAAGATCATATTCTTGAACTGCATGTAATATCAGACTAATATTACTCTATAAATACATATATAACAATAATAGAGACAATAGGTATAAAAATCAAATAAACAATTTTAACTAAAATAATCTTAGATATACATACATCTAATAGAGCGATTTCAGGGTGGTTTTCTCCGCAAATCAAAACGGCCAAATAACGAGCTCGGTACAATAACTTTAAAGCTGTAGTTATTTGATTATTTGCATAACAATACAAAGCTAAATGAATCTGAAATAAAATAAAATAATATTTATGATATCCAGAAAAACACATTTTTCTTCTATTACATATTCTGTTATGGTATAAGGGTGATCAATTCCATTAACTCGTTCTGACATAAACACAGCTTTTTGTTGATATGCCATGGCTTCACCATAATCACCCATTATATAACTTAACCTAGCAAGCATTCGTAAACATTGAGCGATTTCAGGATGCATTGCACCATATACATTATTTAATAGAGTTAAAGCTTCCATAATTAAATCATATCCTTCTTTTAAAAGCCCTTGTTGGATTTTTGTTTGGCCAGTGGTATAAAAATTAAATGCATCAGTTGCCTGTAATTATCAACATACATTTTAAAAAGTGAAAGAAACAATTCTATTTTATTTTACCCTAGGGTTGATGTGTTTAACAACTGGAAACATATTCACAATATCTTCTTCAAAAAATGTAAACCGATTTTTAGAATCAAATGAATATTCCCTCAACAGTATCTGAATTCCAGTTTTTAAGCAAAATGACCTATCAAGAGGAAAGCAAATGTGCTGATCATATTATAAATAACAAATACAAATATAATATCCTCCTATAAAAAGCTTTATGTAAGTATTGTGTACCTCAATAATGATATTTTTTGAGTACCATAATGTTCACAAATAGATTCAATAGTTTCAGAAACCAACTCCCAAGCATAATATGATTTTACTTCTGCTCGAATTTGAGACCATAGACCATGCCGAGTAAGATTAGCCCAATCTTTATTATCTACAGTAAGTAATCTATTTAATCGACCTTTACGTTTGTTGCGTTTTTTGATTGGTTTTACATCATCTAATGTATTCTGAGGATGTGGTGTTGAACATGATGACAAAAAACAATTCAAAAAATGACTAACAGCATTTGCTAGACTCATTAACTCTGCAGACTAAAAATAAAAAAATGTTAAGTATATAAAATAATCTATTTATAATTCTTCTTACTTGTATGTAAGTATTGAAAATGTGTTTTGCTGCTCTAGTAATTAAT